TTAATATATTTAAATGGAATGAAAATGTTTTTGTAACATTTCAATATTGATTAGAAATTTGATAGTGCAGCCCACAAAAGTTAGATTATAGAGACCTTTAGAGAATTTAGAGAGAATATTAGAATATACAGTGCATGTTGGCTCATTCCACAAGTCTTAAAACTTTACACAATATATTTTATATATATTGTGTAAAGTTTTAAGACTTGTGGAAAATTCAAATATATAAAAAAATCGATAATTTTTCAGTTTCGTTGTATCGAGTTGCATTTTACCAAGGACATTAAGTATAATACATATCATGTATTATGATTAATGTAAAACTTAAAATAATAAATTGAATGATTTCGTAGCATTTGATATAAAAATTTACTTAAATGCTCTTTAATAGAGTTACATATTAACAAATAAAATATAAAGTACTATTACACATATTAAAACACAAAAAATGGAAATAAGAAAACAGAGGAACTCTTTAAATTGTTCCTACGACTGATTGATGGAACACGGTACAAATTTTATTGACTATTTTAAGGCAATGAGAATCTGCCACCATCTCAATGACGGAAGAATCGACTAAAGGACGGATAATGTCGTGACCTTTAATAGTGATATAAATGTATAAGTATATGCAATTGCATCGATATAATAAATAAAATTGAAGTGTCTGTTTGTAATGTCAAAATAACAGCTATTTACTACATAGTAGCATTAGTATTTTACATATATACTAGCATATAATAGTATACACGGTACCTATAACAAAAAAACATTTTTTTAATTTGTTGATTGTCTGTTTGTCCGTCTATCTGTCTGGTCGTTTGCTCTTAATCTCCGAAACTGCTGGACTGATTTTGATGGGACTGTCACTGGCGAGAGCTGATGTTATAAGGAGCTACTTTTATTTTAGAAAATAAATTAGGGTTCTGCGCAAAAAAAAAATTAAAAAGCATGAAATTTAATTGTAATGAATTCCACGCGGGCTGTCGCGGGGAACAGCTAGTCTTGAATATAAATGTATAAGTTTGATGAACGTACTCTGCAATTAATATTAGCAATAAAAACATAGCAACAGACATAATCCAAACAATATTGTACATGGTAGAGCAATGTTGCAGCTACATTATGGTTTTAGAACGAACGGCTCGGCTCGACTGGGGAAAGACCACGACCTCACAACATATTAGCGGAAAATAGGAGCTTAACTTAAATGATGTTTCATATTATGGTGACTGTAAAGAACCGGAAATACCTTTTATTGGTAAGTTGGAATTCCACCTTCCTCAGGGGTGGTAATGTACCTGCATTTAGATTTTTAATCGAGGATAGATGTAAATGTCTGTAGGCCGCATCCACTTACCATAATGGGGACTTAGTCCGCTTTTCACCCATATTCTATAAAAAAAATAACTGAAGTGTAACTGACAATTAATGATGAAGAAAGGTTCTCGAGTGGCAGGATCGAACCGGTAGGCAAAGTGTAAGTCAGCCCTCCTCCTGATGTAGTAAAAACCTGGTACGCCATGCGGGAAGTTGATGGTGACAGGTGACCCAGGATCGTGTTTTGTGGTATTGCTTGGAAGAGGCCTATGTTCTGCAACGGAATTTTGAAGGGGTTTAATAATGATGAATTATTATTTATAATCTTTATTGAAAAAACACTAACAGTAGACTTTACGATCTGATAAGACAGATAATTTTATTCTTCTTAACATGTATGTTAACACAATAGCTTACGATGCCGGCAAAATTTAAAATGCACTAAATTCCATTTACATAAATAAAAGTGACGTCACACATCTGTCATGTGTGACAGCGCGGGAGTTGATTAAATGGCGCGAGCGCGTTCACAGGCGTTGATAACGAGCTAAATTAATTCGAACACGTGTAAACATTTTGTTAGATAAACTCACCAAATACGTATCACGAGGGGTCTGGGGCGGTCGCATCTGTTATTTGATTTCGGTGATTTGCTTTTATGGTCGTAATTTCAAAGCAAACATTATGATTTAACGTTAATGAAATATCTCTTAATTGGTATTAATCTTTTTTATAGCTGCACGGAACACGACGCGCGACGGTCCATTGACATAATTTAAGAACATACTGTCAGTATAATAATGATATCAGTATTCAGTCTCAGTTTTACACTTTTAATATTCCTTTTAATAGTTTAAACATACGTACATAAATATACTAAAATATAAACATTCTTGCCTGTTTCCCAGAGGGGTAGGCAGAGACTACGGACTTCCATTTGGCACATTCCTGACACACCTCTTTCGCACTCCTTACATGCGTTATTTGCACATACATACATGTCGGTTAAGGGTACTCCTTATTATATATTACGTTATATTGTCTAGTATATTTATATTATAGAATCTAGTACATATATTATATCAACATATATTGGTAGTATTTTTTGGAATTTTTCGCGGTAGAACTACGCTGCATGCAGCCGAACTATGGTTGCAGCACGAATGAGTTGGCTCGACTTAAAAGTCATGAGTTCGAATCCTACCAAAAGATGCTTGAAATATTAGTAGTGTCTTAGTTAAACGGATTTTATATTGATTACTTATCCATATCATTGTTATTTAAATTGCTAAATGCTCTATGGGTAGAGTCTATAGATAGAGGTGTATATTTCCAAATTAAAAATAACTTTTGTATTCATTTATTAGTATCTAATTCTGAAAATATATATTTTTAACAAATGAATATTGTAGACCGTGAATAAACATTGTTAATAGTGTAGGTGGCGGTGTCAGAATATCCACTACTCGATATCATCCCATGTGTATCGTAAGAAGCGACAGAGGGAAACTTAACCATGAGATAGACAGAAGCATCTTCCTGATGATAGCTGAATAAAAAATAAGCGGTTGCCAACCCGCTTGCCGAGCGTGGCAACTATGGTAAGTATACCACCAATGAAGCAATCTATAGGTGAGGGTATTCTATGTACAACAGTGAACTTTAGATAGGCTGTAATGAAACATTGCAGACATGCCGCTATCAAAAAGCCAAATAAGTTAGCCACGATTAAGGCAAGAAAACACTGCAAGTAATAATTTATCGAATTTATCCAACTACACTGTATTGTCTCTGTGTATGTATTACTCTGTTGATATCTACATTTCTCTGGCATTAGGATATCCTATACTCGAATATTACGACACCTACAGTACGAAGTTGCAAATCCTATAAAAAAAGAACTTTATATCACAATCTCATTAAGCGTTTATTTGATTATTCCCGTTTTCCTCTTTCCGAAATTAAGTCATTTAATGTTTTAAATGTCCGTTTATAAAAAGACGTTTCTTCGTAAACAAACGGAGAGCGGTGTTTAATGGATTTTTTTATTTCTACTGTTGTGTTAAACCGAGTGTTTTGTTTGAAACGATAGCGCTTGACGTAAACACTTAACTGTAAGCGATCTTGGGGTTACGATTTCTCTAGCTATTACCATATGACGACTTTATCTATAAAAAAAAATTGTAATTGGACTCGTTTTATGCCTAGGAGCCCGTCTATCTAGGTACTTGTACCTCTTTCTACTGCTAGACAAATATGTAAATATGGTTGGGTTCTTTTTTTTATAGAATAAGAATGACAAACAAGCATGCAGTCAACATGATTTAAAGTGGATGCTGTGGCTCAAAGACATTTACATCTATTTTACGCTGGTATTCTGTGAGAGCGTGGTCCTTCCCCGGTCGAGTCGAGCCGTTCGTGCTTCAGCCGTAATAGATATAGCTGCAGCATGACTCTACCACGTTTGTTCTATTTGAAAGGTTAATGAGTCCAGTATAATAAGCTATTAGACATGTCAATTGAAACACGAATGTTAGGTGAATACTGAGAGCCATAGACATCTACATCTACCCTCGGTGAATAATAAAAATAGTTATAGATAACGCTGAATCAAAATGGTGACACATTAAGTTTGTCTTTAGTGACGATGATTTGTTCTATTTTGTATTACTTTCTTTTTTTTTGTTAAAAACGTTACCCCCACGCTAGGATTTTCTCCTGTGTCGTGGAGGCAGTTTACAAACACAAATTGCACGAGGACAAACATCCAGACCCGGAACAATTATTTGTTGGCCATACAAATACTTGTTCCGTGCGGGTTTCGATAGCGCAATAACTCATTGCTAAGCCACTGTGCCACGGAGCCGTCACTTTAGAAACACGGAGGTGATTTAGAAATTACGCTAAAGATCTCAGATTCGATATCATCTCTATGGACTAATATGTACTATGAACTATTTTATAACAGTGGCAGCTTTTGCTGTCACACGGATGGGCCGGCTCGAACCGGGGTGGTACCATGACCTCACAGAATACCAGCGTGAAGTAGAGGTTTACCTCTGCGTTTCGCATGGTGAGTGCAGGTGGCCGGAGGCCCTTTTTACTTAAAATGAGGCATTCCATCTTAGCCCTCATGGGTGACAATGCATCTGCATTTTGATTCGCAAAGGAGGATAGATGTAGATGTCTATGGGCCGCAGCAACCACTTACCATCAGGTGGACTGTGTGCTCGTTTGTCACCCTTATCCTATTAAAAAAATATGAATGCCTCGTTAGCAGAAAAAAGGGTGTCTGTGCCTTTACATTCATCATACGAAATATAGCAGCATCATGCTGCTATTTTATGCTGGTATTCTGTGAGAACGTGGTCCTTCACCGGTAAAGCCGATACATTCGTGCTACAACTATACAATTAGTATAGCTGCAGCATAGCTCTATCACGTACATGTATGTGCTGATTTTTTCTTTCAAAAATAAAAAAAAATATTAATATGAAATTTACTCACGGCTAACAACACATCTGCATTTTGATTCGCAAACGAGAAATTGATATAGATGTCTATGGGCCACAGCAATCACATACAATCAGGTGGACTGTGTGCTCGCTCGTCACTCTATAAAAAATAAACCTATTCATAGTTTGTGAAACCCAAAATTAACGCTTCATACTTACTTGCAGATTATCGGGCGAAACCAGCACAAGCCCCTGCGAGTCTGAGTCAACCTCCGAATCGCCGCCATCTTTGTTGCAAGATGCAACTCTACCCGCGCTTTTAGTGTCGGGAGCGTCGACGTTGTTTCAAGCCACCACGTCGACCAGTTCCGCGCTGAGTCTCACGGACGGGCTGAGCTTGCCCCAGGAGGACTGTGGCTTGGCTAATGGTTGCGCGAATGCTGCCTTGAGCGGGCTGGCCCTACCGCTTACGTCATCTGGCGGCTTGTGTTCAACGACGTCGTCGTCCGCCGTCGCCTGGTTGATGAATGACGATAGTACAGGTAAGATTTAATTCTCAACTCATAGTATCCTAATAATATCCTTTGAAAATTGATATAGAGAGTTAATTCAGTACCGACGGAGATAACTTCTGTGTAATGAAAACTGTAGGTTCTACGTGGTAGAGGAATGCTGTAGCTATATTAAGTTTGTCACCCTTATTCTATAAAAAAGGTGCTAACATCATCATCATTTACAGCCTATTCATAAGTCCACAGCTGAATTGACCTTCACCAAGAATGCCACAAAGCAAGGTCTTGATCCTGAGTCACCTGCATCCATAGACTTCCTGCATATTTTAAAAAGTGGGGTGCCGCTCTACTCTTTGCTTACCGGTCCGAGGCTGTTACTCAAGAAACTTTTTTCCCCATAGGTTGTCGCTTCTCCAGACTATATGGCCGGCCCATTACTGCTTCAGCTTACTGATCTATTGGGCTATGTCAGTTACTCTAGTTTTACTATGGCTCTCACTATGGACATATACATATCTTTACTTTTACGAATTTAACCACGCAGAGAAACCCCGAGCAAAGGCTACTCCATAGCTCGCTGAGCGACCTTAAGCTCCTCGTACAGCCAGCAGTGAAAGACGGCGTCTCAAATCCATATATCATCACTGGCGAACGTACTCTTGTTTTGGCGCTAACATGAAAGCATATATTTAAATAGGACGAAGGCTAGAATATGAAAGGCTGAAGACAAAATAACATAGTAACAAGAAACATCTACTATAGGCTTTTGCATACAAGTTGGCTTCGACTGGGATTCGAGGGGAGATGTAGTGTATTACAATAGGTCACGCATTGGCAAATTCTCCTTTAAGGGACAGGTCAAAATTCAGTCAATTATTCATGGGTTGAAAATGAAATAATATAATTACAACACTAAAACAAAAATACAAAACTTTATCATAAGTCCTATTCCTCGCAATATTGTGTCAAAGATTTCATCGCGTTGTGTTTCCTCCCCTAAATGTTATATTAATGTATATAGTAATATATACATTAATATAACATGTGGGAAAACTGTATGCTAAGGTACTAATTGAAAGAGTTATGAAAGAAACTGATGGAAAAATTTGGGATGTGCAAGCGGGATTTAGAAAGGGAATGGGATGTACGGATCAGGTCCTTTCCATGCGCATGATCACGGAGAAGTTTTTGGCCAAAAACCAAAAAGTTTTTTGTGCGTTCATAGACTTGGAGAAGGCTTATGACAGAGTGGACAGGGATGTGTTATGACAAACACTGAACTCATTTGGGTTGACCGCTGGTCTGATACAGGCATTGAAGTCTCTATATAGGGACTCTAGTGCTTGTGTCAGGATCAACGGGGCCTACTCGGACTGGTTTGGCATCCATAAAGGTGTCAGACAGGGCTGTGTGGCTTCCCCGTGGTTGTTCAACCTATTTATGGACAGTTGTTTGGAAAATTTGAAAGTAGAAGAATGCGGGTTAAGAATGGGTGAGATTACCGTCAAATGCCTTTTGTACGCCGATGATCAAGTCATACTTGCGTCGTCGGCGGCCGAGTTGCAAATGATGGTTACATTAATGAACAGGACGTTAAAAGAAAAAGGAATGAAAGTGAACGCAAGTAAGACGAAAGTTATAGTTTTTTAAAGAGAAGAAAGTAAAACGATATGTGAAATAAGAATAGAAGGGGAGTTGGTAGAGCAAGTAGATGAGTTTGTATATTTGGGATGTGTGTTTAGCAGGGATGGTAGATATGATAAGGATATAGAACGACGAGTGAATGCAGGAAATAGAGTGAATGGGGCTCTACACTCTATTGTGAAAAGTCAGAATGTGTCCAAAAAGGCACGTATGGCAATTCACAATGCTGTGTTAGTACCTACTTTAATGTATGGTAGTGAAAGTTGGGTGTGGCAGAAGAAGCATGAGAGTAGAATAAATGCTGTAGAAATGCGGTCATTAAGGAGTATGTTAGGGATGAATCTGAATGACAGAGTGAGAAATTGTTTAATAAGAGAAGAGTGTGGTTTGCAAGATGATGTTGTGACCAGGATTAAGAAAGGAATGCTTCGGTGGTTTGGCCATGTAGAAAGAATGAATGAGGAAAGAGTGACAAAGCAAATTTATGTTGCAGAGGTGAACGGCATAGTCGGGAAGGGTCGCCTTAGGCGAAAGTTTATCGACCAAATTGGCGATATATTAAAAATGGGCCAAATCAAGAGTACCTTTAACCGACGAGCGTGTATGCGTAGGTATATGGATGTGGAGGAAGCGAGAGAGGTGTGTCAGGATCGTGCCAAATGGAAGTCCATAATCTCTGCCTACCCCTCTGGGTGACAGGTGTGAGTGTTTTATGAATTATAAAAGTAATATATACCTTAAAAGTTGAAATGTTAATATAATCTGTACCATCTAGAATTAATTACATAAGATATGTTTTTGATATAAATAATAATAATGTCTTTGATATAAAACTAAATTTATGAGAATCGATTTTAAGATTAACACAAATACGTATCAGCGTTTTGAATATGCAATGACCATCGAATAATCCGGTTCCGGTAACTCTTAATGGCATCTTAAATTTGAAATCATCGGTTTATTATTGCCATAACTAACAGTATAACTCAATATATGCAAGTTATGTAAATTCTTACAATACGAACATAACAAAAAGAAAGAATTTATTGATTTTATTACTATAACATTTTTATTTTCTCCGTCCTAATATATAGAAACAGTTTTCTAATAATGTTACGAATTTAATAGCCTTGACCATTAACATTCCAAAACCCGTTTATTTTATGACACCAATCCTATTCTTATTGTGTACGCATAATATGTGCAATGCCATGTTACAAATTTTGTTCACAATGACACTACACATTTGACAAGATTTTTTTTTATTTAAGCAATATATCAGTAACTAGGAGTATTGCAAATGCAGATTAAGATGCCACACATCATTGTCAATCCTCCTCTCCCAATATATTGATCTATTTTATAGTACCTGGGCCTTTTTAACAGAATTTCCTTATTAAATATTAAGAGGATTGTGAAGTGCCGATACGCGGCGCAATAAGGTATTTTCAAAAATGCTATCTGTTGCATACCGCTCGCTCCCTAACTCTGTATCTTGCGAGAGAGAGAGAGAGAGTTATAAGTCTTGGAGGCAATTGCCTACATTTAATTTTTGAAAAATTGTTCGGGCGTTTACGGCGTAACGTTTTCACCCCCCTAAACCTTTATAAAATGAGATAATTTTGATCTCATAAGATTAAGTACACCTTAATCTAGGTCTGTACGTGCTCTTTTTTAGTAATTCAATTTGGTTTATTAAAAAAAAATGAAAACGCTCGAGGAAGTTTTTAAGTCAAAATTAAAGATAATTAGAAGCTTTATTTTTGAAGCTTTGCTTTCTATTTAATTTCTTCACCATCTGCATCTTTATCATAATGATAAGAATCTTTATCATCGATTTGGATGTAGCACGAATGGGTCGGCTCGACCGGAGAAGGACCACGCTCTCACAGAATACCAGCGTAAAATAGCAGCTTAATGCTGCTGTGTTTCTTATGGTGAGTGTAGAGAACCGGAGACCCCACTTTACTGGAAACGAGGCATTCCATCTTAGTCCTCAGTCCTCACGGGTGACGACGCATCTGCATTTTGATTCGTAATCGAGGATAGATGTAGATGTCTATGAGCCACAGCAACTACTTACCATCAGGTGGACTGTGTGCTCGTTTGTCACCCTAATTCTGTAAAAAAATGCAATGGTTTCACAATGATTGTAGCGCTAAGAACCGCAGGTTTGAATCCCGCACGGAACAAATATTTGTATGGCCTACAAATAATTTTTCAGGTCTAGATGTTTGCCCTTGTGAAATTTATGTACTATGTAAACTGCCTCTAAATCATCATCATCATCATGACAGCCCTCCACAAGTCCACTGCTGAACATAGACCTCCCCCAAGGAATGCCTCAATATACAGTAGAAAAAACAAGTGTGGAGGTAAAGATTTTTTAACCCATTCCCTGTCCCGTACACTACATATAGTTCCTTGCTATTGTCTTACTATTGTGTCTGAAAATCGGACTGTAAGTGTTAAAAAAGAAAAGAAGATTGCTACAATACCTATAACTCAGAGAATTCTGGGTACCCATGAGATCCCAGTACTGATGTAATGTGCAAAACAAAAATGATCAGACCTCTTGCGAATGAACTCGGATTAACGCCATAATCGATTCCTTTTTATGATATCCTTAACGTTTTCACCTAATGCGTTGCCTCATAAAATAATCAGCCTTCTGTTACCTCAACAGGTGGTGGCGTCAAGAGTGAGGTGCGCAGCCCAGGGCTGTGCGAAGCAGACGTGGCTCTGTACGGCGAGACGCTGCCCTACGACCAGTCCGCGCTGTCCTACCAGTATTATAATAGGTAAATTTTATATCTAGGGATCTTTTGGAGGAATATATCTTTCTTTCCCACGTTGTTGTTCAGAGGCTACCGTTTGCTCTAAATTTCACAGTACGTGAGAAACCCTACGTTAGAGCCATGTTTCATCTATATTATGGTTCATGGGTCAGCTCGACCGGGAATAAGAAAGATAAACAAGCAAACAGTCAACCTAATCGTTATATATAGATGAGAGATGCAGCATGGTTCTGCCACGTAAGTAAAAGAATATAATCTTATATTAAAATCGATATATTAAAATTCTTTCGCTTTTCGATTGAAGTCGGATTTATAAGGATTATTCACAGTGGTATACCTAATATATCGTAAACCTGATTGTTCTAAATATCACGCCATGCAAAAAGATACCATAGTGTATTGTCCGAATACGTATAAAGGTCAACGCTCTTTATGGGATTTGTGTGAAGCCTTACAAAGACCCACGTCCGAAATTAAAAAGACCGGACTTCCGCGTTAACAGAATGCGGTATATAAAGCCCTAATTATAAAATAAGTGGACTAGAATAATCTTATTAAATGGCTGTTAAACTAAAACTTTACGTCATAAAATTAAGCTTATCTGTGCCTTTTTTCGGCTTCCAGATGTTTTGTGCAAAAAAACTCTAACAAAGTTCGTAACTGGAGGTTTGTAAGTGATATCAAAAATGTATATGTATAGAAAACTTATTTTTCACATAAGAAAAATGTTAAACCGTAATTTTAGAAAGGAATAAGATCAATAATTTCAATAGTTAATTGTTAGTTTTTTATAATTCTGAGATATTTTAATTTATATTAATTCTACTCAGATCAATAAAGGAGCCTTAAATAGTAGAGTGCTACAGGTATATTCTGGTTGTAGCATAGAACGAACAGGTCGGCTCGATCAGGAAAGGACTATTTTATGCTGGTATTCTGTAAGAATACCAGTATAAAATAGCAGCTTAATGCTGCTGTGTTTATTACGGTGAGAGTAGAGAAACGGTGACCCTTATTACTGGAGGCAAGGCAATCCATCTTGGACCTCAGGTCTAACTACACATCTGCCATTTTGATGTCTATGGGCTACAGTTGACCGCAATTTCACCTGGTGGTAAGTGATGATGCAGCCTAAGATGGTAGATCGCACTGTCTTAGCGTAACAAAAGCCTATTCACTCTTGCCTTGAAGACGCCCAGATTGTATTCGGGCGGAAAGGTAGACGCCGGCAAATTATTCCACTCCTTTACTGTACGCATTACAAAAAGAGAAGCAAACTGTTTTGTTCTAATGCGTGGAATATCGACAACAAAGAGGTGAATACCCGCTGACCGTCTGGTTATCCGGTGGTGGAAAGGAGAGGGAGGAATTAAAGCGTGTAATTCCTGTGCATACTCACCGGAATGCATCCTATAGAATACCGAGAGACTGGCTGGCCACTCTGTGCCTGTGCTCGAGGCTGACAAGATTGGTTTCAACCAAATCAAGGTCACCAATGAGCCTCTTAGCACGTCTCTCCACTGATTCCAACGCTGTCAGGTGGGATTTTGCAGCACCAGCCCATATGTGACAGCAGTACTCCATGCACGACTTTAATAAGGTAAGAAGCTGCCCCGGTGTAAAGTACCGCCGCACCCTTGCAAGGACACCAAGTTTCCTTGCAGCTGCTTTGGCTCTGGACTCAATGAACAGCCCATAGTTGAGATTCGGACAAAATTCAACCCCTAACAACTGAGGACGGTCAGTTTACTCCAAGGATACATTCCGGAAAGTAGGAGCCAGGGTGAGCGGGTTACTTTTAGCGGTGAAAAGACAAGCTTGTGTTTTGGAGGCGTTAAATCTCACGAGATGGGCATCGCCCCATTCGGAGCCTGCCTGTAGTGTAAGATTCACACGCTCAACCATAGCCTCTCTTTCGGACTGGATTTGACTCCTACTGGCCCGAGCACTCGGTTGGTACCTCTCCACAACTGTGCTGTCGTCTGCATACCCCTGGTAGGAGTCGCATCAGCAGATCATTTATATGCAGCAGGAAGAGAGTTGCGGAGAGAACGAACCCCTGAGGAACACCGGCGTTAGTCGCCACAGGATCGGATGAGCAGCCATCAACGACGACCCGGTGAAACCATTCACTCAGAAAGTACTTCACACAGTCAATCAGGCCAGGCGATAAGCCGTACCCAAAAAGCTTGCCCAGTAGACTAGCGTGCCAAACCCTGTCAAAGTCCTTCGAAACATCGAGAGAAACAGCAAGTGCTTCACCACTGTTCTCGAGGGCTTCGCCTCATATGTGAGTGGCATACGCTACAAAGTCCCCAGTTGATCGATTTCGGCGAAACCCGTACTGGCGATCACTGAGGAGATCATTCTGTTCTAGGTATGCTATGAGGTGGGCGTTCAATATACGCTCCATAATCTTGCAGAGTATGGAGGTAGTTGAAATTGGACGATAGTTGACAGGGTCGGTACGGCTACCTTTTTAGGCACAGGCTATACATTGGCCAGCTTCGAAGACTTGAATGAGAGACAGAAGAAGCGCGACAACACAGGAGACAACTCAGGTGCACAGACCTACGTACCTCTACTTTACGTGCTCGTTTGTCACCCTTGTTGCCTTAGTCAGTATTGGAATCCTCGGCGTCGACATATCGAGTGACGTGCAGTTTCGTGGTCACTTGGAAGAGAAGACCAAATTGGCCTCTAAGAAGCTTGGCGTGCTCAGCAGAGCGGGATAGTATTTCATGCCGGCACACCGCCTGCAACTTTACAAGGCGCAGGTTCAGCCTCACATGAAATACTGTTCCCATCTCTGGGCTGGGGCTCCTCAGTGCCAGCTCCTTCAACTTGACCGCATCCAGCGCAGAGCGGCTCGAATCGTCGACGACCGAGTCCTTTCCGATCGGTTCGATTCATTGGCGCTGCGAAGAGATGTTGCATCCCTTTGCATTTTCTTTCGCATTTACCACGGGAAGTGCTCCGAGAAATTGTTCGGATTATTCCCAGCCGCCAAATTTCACAAACGCACATCGCGGCAGAACTCCCATCATCACACCACCTGGATGATTGGCGGTCCACCACTGTGCCATTTAGAAGGTGTTTTCTTCCTCTCACAACTTCCCTGTGGAATCGATTACCACCAGCGATTTTTCCGGACCGATACGACTTAGGGACCTTCAAGAAAAGAGCTTACTCCTTTTTAAAAAACCGGCAACGCATCTACGATTCCCCTGGTTCCCCTGGTGTTGCAGTTGTTCATCGGCGGTGGTAGTCACTTATCATCAGGTGAGCCGCATGCTCGTTTGCACCATCTCCTATTAAAAATAGACAACTAGAATACCACGTACATTTCAAGTGACGCCGAAACGCTTAACTTCTTTACACGCCCTCAAGCACACATATGCACCTAAAACCTTTTTTTTGATGCAAGTTGCAATTTTAGATACAACATAATATGATGTGTACGTGAGTGCGTGTTCTTACATAGTTGAGTAGAGCATGATTTCGAGATCACTTGAGATGTACGCAGCATTTGTCTATTCATTGTTGGTGTGAGGATTTTATATAAAACTAGCTGTTCTCCTCGACTTCGCCCGCGTGTAATTTAGGGTTTTAATTTTGTTGCGCGGTACCCTAATTCTTTTTCTAAAATATAAGTAGTCTAAGTTACTCCTTACAACATCAGCTATCTGCCAGTGAAAGTCCCGTCGAAATCGGTCCAGCCGTTTCTGAGATTAGCCGGATCAAACAGACAGACAAAAATATTAAAAATTGTGTTTTTGTTATAAGTACCGTATATACTTTCAAATGCATTTAGTAAAAAGCTGGTATTTTGACATTATAAACAGACACTTCAATTTTATTTATTTGTAGAGAAGATGTTATTAATACGTGTAAATTATAGGCCAAGCGCATTTTGTAATTAATGTAGGATATGGTTCCTCTGCAATATTATAATATTTTAATAAACGACACACTACAGTTTATGATGTCATTACTACATAATGTTGCGAGTGACTACGGATATAGGAAAACTGCCGGCTTAACTCCGACAGAATCGTTCTGAATCAGTCGTGTTTTTAACCGAATTGAAAAAGGAGGAGGTTCTCAATTAATATATCTTCGCAGATTGTGAACCAATTTTGATGATTCTATTTTATTAAATAGGTTATACTTCAAGGGTGGTCCCATAAAAATTTAGAGAATAAATTTCACCCCTAAGGGTAGCAAATTAATAACTTCTTTTTTAGTCATTTAAAGTTGGTTTTTACTTTTGTAAAAAGTTATAATATTTGAATTTAGTTTAATTTTTTCCTCCCGAAACCGTAACTAGTGCACAGTCGAATGGTCGTTCAAAGGGTGGAATGATCAAAAATTTATTCTTCAGGTTTCCGCCACTAGATGGCGCTCGTAATCGCAAGTGAAGATATTCTTTTTCTTAATAAGTTAGTCCTATGTATTAAAAATATATCAAAGTGAATTTTTAATTTATTGAAAATGATCTCCAAATAAAACATATCCGGATGTGCCTGACGGCGCTAATAACGCTTGATCTTAACTTGATCGTGTTTCTCGACTTGAATAAGTTCGGCAGTAAGCTTTTAAAATCAGGTTCGAAACAAAGTCAGTTGAACCGAAATCAAATTCGATTACAATTTTGGGTGTAAGCTTGATGATATTCATTTCAATGAGGCGCGATTCACGACTTTTTCTGCCACCAGGGTGGCGCCACTAGAAAGTGAGTTATAATATTTGACTGATTTCATAGCGGGAAAGTTAATTTATTCGAAAAATTTAAATTAAGATAAGATTATAAATTAATAAATCAATCCACAGATATTCATAAAAGAAGAAAAATTAGAAAAAAATGTGCAAAAAAATTAATGACCAAGCCACTGACGTATTGTTTTGTGTATTAATATAATACTCTAGAAACTGATAAACTTTTATTAAAAACCAACTTCTCAATTAAATTACATTGTGTATCAAACAACTTTAACCTCAGTGTCAACTAGCGACATCTGGTGAGCAGAAAGTTATTAGCCCTCATTATATCCTTCTTTATGCTATCGCTAAGTACCAGGGCACCAGTTGTTTACTGGTTTCAAAGACTGGCAATAATATAAAAAGGGTTATGAAGTTTTATATTATTCCCTAGGGATGACAAAGCACTTGTTGCCTGCTCTATTTGGTAGAATATAAAAAATATATTGCAACTAAATACTGAACATTGTCCACAGCATGCAGCAGTATGGCGGCGGAGGTGCGGCCTCGTCTTACGTCAGCTCCACATTGTACAACCAGCCTTACGCTGCCTACCCGCCACCGCACAACACTAATAATAGGTAGGTCTGCGGTCTTAATGGTCAGAGTACTTCGCTGATACAGGTTCAAATCTCAGTGCCATTATTTGTGGAAAAGTTATGTTGGATAACGATATAAATCGCCGTGTATCTGCAAGCCACTGCATCCTACCTTACTTTTAATACCGTTGTTAACCAACAAAAACACGGGAGGTTCCGTGTTTTTGTTGGTTAACAATATTGGGGAATCGGTACCGTGGTAAAAATTGGGCAAGTATCTATACAAATATTAACGTTATGAAAAAACATTGTACCCATTTATAAGCATATTGCGCGCACGGATAACATTAGGACATTTTTATAAATAATATTCATTACAAATACGTTACATAAATAAAATAAAACATACATTGTTTACATTTATACTGCCATTGTCAAACACATAATTGTCACTTGGACAAATAAGTCGTTTGTTGACGTTCATACTGCTAACTGCTAATGTTTAAGAGTAAGTACCAGCTTAAGTATATCATCACTCTAAGGCCAATGTCAAACACTTAATAATCTGTGGGCAAATAGTCGCACAGGGTAAAGATTGTCGCCAAAGTAATTTAAAAATTTTCCAACAAAAAGCTGTAAATTTTGTGTGGTTTCAAATATTCCTGACGATGTAGAGAGGATTTATCTTAATCGCCTTGATCGCTGGTACTGCCTCTTGACGCTGTTGCCCGTCACCGGCCTAGATATTTTACGTCTATCGCGAATTGGTAATAATGCCATCTATCGGAAGCCATGAGATCTCTAACATTTCCCATAGTCCACTGAACTCTCAAAGAGTATGTTCACTATATACGTTTACTCGCTTTACAGATTACCCCCTTAGGGGGTAATCTGTGACTCGCTACCATAGTTATACCGTAGTTGGGGGTTGACTCGAACTTTAGGCCTAGTCAGTTTGAAAAGCCTATTATGTAGAGGATGTCATGGGGGTCATGGTTGAATAGGGGCTTAAAGTTCTCATTGCACTCCTAGCGGGTCAGAATGGCCAAAAACCAAAAAATTAAAAATTCTTATTTCGGCTTTAAATCCGCCTTCTTCGGAGATTCTTACACAGTCTTTACTTGCCGCAGCTCACTAGCTACCATAGATAAATAAATATGTAGCAAGCTACTCGGTACTCTACACCCACGGGGGTTAAAAGAAGTGACGGATTCTCACTTGCTTTTAAGTTCACTGCTGGTTATAGGCATAATGATTTATTATATTTGCGCTAATAATACACATTGAATAAAACTAATTATATGAATTCTATCATTTAATGTTATGTAACTTTTTAATTCTCTATGTTTCGGGTGATTTACAGTACTCATTCTCATGGCGTAACTAAATTGTTTAAAGTCATGATGACAAAGTTAACTCGGGATACTACATATTTGTATTAATTGCAAAATATCAGAAATTTTGAAAATACATTTATATAGGTACAATAAGTAAATTAACATTGAACATCATTTTAGATGAAAGAATACCAGTTAGGTTATTAACATCACTAATACTCACGTTAACTACTCCAGGTAAGCTTAAAATACTTGTGATAGGACTTAGGAGTGGTTCACCACAGTACTCAAATTGTTGATTCAAACCCACGACTTTCCGATTTTTCTGTCCGCATCCTTGTGTAGAGTCGAAAGAGATCTACCATCGGCCCATCATCATCATCATGATTGCAGGTCTTCACACGTCCACTACTGAACATAGGCCTCCCTCACGGATGCCACAAAACACGGTCCTAAGCTCCCTACATCTATCGATTTCTTGCATGTCTTACCAGGTCGTCAGTCCATCCATCGGGGGGCCGCTCTACACTTGATCTCATATACCAAGTGCTCGGCACTCAATTAAAACATCGCGCAGAACTGAGAAATGAATGGTCATCAACAGTTGTAGTTTATCCTCAGTATGGAATTAAATACCTTATCTTTCGCATCGATCATTAAAAAGTCCTCCGTGGACTAAGGTTACCCATGTAAGGGAGAACTTAAAAAAATAATATATTTATTGATTGCTACACAGGTCATCATGTAAAGCAACACCGACTTACCTGAGTGCTTACGGCGTTAGCAGCGTGGGTACGGTACCGAGCTCTGGTTTCGGTACGCAGCCCTCTCCATATGCGTATTCGTCATACAACGGCGGTTTGGCGCAGTCCTTCCCTAATGCACAACAGGTACGTAAGAATTTCTTAGGATAGTTAATATACTATATGGTGTAAATGAAAAGGAAAACTCTAAACACCTATTCTGTAAGACGCCATCTCACTCAATGTTGCTTAATGTCTAAATCTCACTTAATGCCATCTAGCGGTGAAGAATATCATTAAGTTACTTATTATAATTATTTGCAATGCCTAATGTAAAACTGCGTGTTATATTTTTGATTACATTAACATTGACAAAATTTTGATCGTGTAATAGATAGATTTTAAATAGTTGATTTATTTTAAATGACTCTGTTTATAATACTTACAATGTAGTGTTTTGAAAAACCTAAAAGAATATATAATTAAAACATTTAATTTTACGGTCATCAGGACTACAGCAGCTACGCATCAGGGTATGCGGATCACAGCGTTGCACAATATGGCGGATATTATGCTGCCCCTAGTTACTCTCCATACGTAAGCTCGCCTAGTAGCAGTGGAAGTGCCGGTCATACATCATATCACCTTGGTGGAGGTTTATCAGGTTTGTCCAGTTTATCAAACTTTATGATGTGTCTTATGATTATAAAGACATCATTATATTATGATGATGTGTTTGTTATTTAATATGAAGAGAAGAGGTAAGAAGGACTATCTCACATCGGCGAAAAGAAAAAAGTTTCGAGCTATAAGCTGTAAATAACAGTCAAAAAAAACCTTCCAAAATGGCGCTAGCGTAGATACAGGGTAGACAGAGAGATTTTATTTTTGTGAACTTCAAAAACGCTTAGTATTTTTTTTTACTGTCGACTGTAAAAAAATCTTTTTAAAATTTTCCAAATTAATTTTTCTCTTTTTAAAATTCACCCTGCTGATATTGTGCCGCCATCCTAATTTAACGCATTTCGACGGACACTATTTCATACACAGAGATAGTTCTCCTTACCTCTACCCTCCATAGTATATAAGATATCTACGACGTCCATGAAAATAGTTTATAATCTATGATCGAAAAGACATATTCTAGCCTTCTGTCATTCTGTTAATTTGGTTTGTAAAAATATGATCATGTGTTCATGTCAATTTCAAACAAAAAGATGTCTTGTCATTCAATGTGACCAGATTTAATATATTTCTACTTCTTTTGTAGATTTCAAATACTTTTAAGCCCAGGCCCTACACAAATATATCTTGATAGGGGTATATGTTTTAGTAATTTTTGTTAGATTGATGTACTTTTGGTACAATTTTCGCTTATTATCAGTTTCTCTGTTTATCATAGTAGTTTTACAAGCACATATTGATCCGACTTCACTGAGCTTTACGAAATGTATACTTAATAAACGGAAATTACTGCTGCTACTAATCTTTATTTTGTTTCATTGTATTCTTTTTATTCTACTTTTAAGGTATTAAATTTAAAAAAAAAAATAAGCAATTACTGTCTTTCTTTCTAGGACTAATGATATATAATATTTTCATTTATAAAACTGAAAGTGAAAGTGTTTTGTGCTTATTAATTATAAAACGATAATATAATCAAAATTATCGTGTATAGTAGAAGCAAGATCCCTATTTTTAAATGCTCATCAAGATGGAACGTGACACTAAATGCTAAGTCAAAGTCCCCATAAAAACAGCAAAATACTAACATATCCCCCGTCGAATGTTACAAAACAAGGTTCTGAGCCAACTGTACCCATCAACTACTAGCAAGTCATATTTTTTCAGTTTTACTTTTCTTTTTTTGTCTGAAAAATATTAACTATTTGTAACTTTTTTGTCTACAAAGTTATAAACAATTAATTTTTGTCTATGCAATCTGAATATGCATTATCAATTAAAAATTATATTACTCCTATTAAAATCATATTCTAATGTTTTAGTAAATATTGGGTAGAAAATGATTTTTATTTTGTAGAATCTAGTAGATTTTTGCTGCTCTGTTTAGTAGATTTGTCAAATAAAATCTGGTCACGCAACGCAGTTGTCAATGAGTTGTCAAAACTCGAGGGAAACTTGTTGGTTTTTATTTATCCTATATATATACAGTAATCTCTGGTTTTATTGCTTATTGGTTATTGGTTGATAATGCAACCAAGGCTATTTATTAAAATTGTAAACATAAAGCAATAAAGTTGTGATATAGTTTTTAGTATTTATATAAATACTTTTTGATATATGTAAAGTGTACAATATTCTAATACCAAGCAGTGTTCCTTATTTATTATTAAATCTCTTTCCTTAAACTGTATTTAGTGATTAAAAGTTAATTATGAAGAAAGACTTAGAAAATGTTTGTCCCATTAAACGTAGAAAACTTAATGATACCGATCCTGAGATACATAACGAAAGTGTAGATGATAATTCTGATTACTGGCCAGACTCTGATAGCGATGATGGTAAATAAATTTCTTATGTTATGAAAAAGTTTATTGTTTTATAGGTGTAATTTAAAACTATGCTATGAAATAATAACTAGCAACATATTAATATCATATAAAGACCTTATGGCATCTGCATACTATTCTAAATGCCAGGTGTAAAGAACTCAAGTTACATGGAATTGTATAAAAATAAAATTTAAGAAAATTATTATTTCAAAAAAGCACTTTGTATTATGGTTAAAAATTTATTTCAGATTCACCATCCTCTATGGTACCATCATTAAATGACGCAAGTCCACTGTCACCAATCAAAAATGAAGTACATGCTGCAAGTAGAAGATGTAGAGAGAACTCAGGGTAAGATATAAAAGATTGTTTCTTTTATTGACATTTTTTAGTTTAGTTTGACAGCTCCGTGGTGCAGTGGCATAGCATTGAGCTGTGGTGCTGAGGCCTGTGGGTTTGAACATGAGGAGTACATGTATAATGTACAAGTAATTGTTCCAGGTCTGGATGTTTGTCCTCATGCAATTTATGTATGTAAACTGCCTCCATAATACAGGAGAATATCCTAGTGGGGTGGGTGGTTAAAAATTTTTTAAATTAAATTTAATAGATTTTTTTTTATAAAGCTAAACAGACACATGCAGTCCACCTGATGGTAAGTGGCTGTAAGTAACTTCAAAAAAGAAAGCTACAAATGCATTGTCAACTCTGAGGACTAAGTGGGAATGCTTCACAGCCTGTAATTTTACTGGCTCACTATGACATTTTATGTGGTAGAGCCATGCTGCAGCTATATTAATAGTATAGTTGTAGCTCAAATGGGTCGGCTCGACCGGGGAAGCACCACACTCTCACAGAATAGCAGCGTAAAATAGCAGCTTAATGCTGCTGTGTTTTGTATGGTGAGTGTAGAGAACCAGAGACCCATTTTACTGGAAAATAGTAAATCTATGATATATGTAGATGTCTATGGGCCACAGCAAGTACTTACCATCAGATGGACTTCGTGCTCGTTTGTCATTCTATAAAAAAAATGACACCCTTTAGATTGGAAGCGCAGTGCAAGCAGTTATTACACTATCCAAACAGGTTCCTATGTAGGAAAGGAATCCATGCTTATATTATAGATATGACAGCAGTATATTGAACACTAGGCCCCCAGGACCATGGATTCTACAAAACATTTGAAACATTGGAAATTATAATAAATGATAATTGCTTATTTGTGATCATAAAATAAATTTAATTTAAGAAAGTAGATGTTGATCAGAAACTGAAATCCAGATTGTATCATTAAAGTTTTTCAGTCAACACATAATATTAATTGTTATTGCATATATTATCATGTGGAAATAGTTTGTCTTCTTACCTAATAAGAAAACAAACTATTTCCACTTTATTTATTTTATATATATATTATATTAAAATTTCAGTGAGAGCACAGCAAGCAGATCAAGAGGCAGAGGAAGGCGTAATACATCATCATCTCCTGCTCAACATGTACCAGAACCATCTACAGAAAGGGTCTTTATCTGGGACCTAGATGAGACTATAATCATATTCCACTCTCTACTCACTGGAACTTATGCTACAAAGTACAACAAGGTAGGTTCAATTTAACTAACGTTACAATTATATATATATATATATATATATATATATATATATATATATATATAATTAAATTAATGTATGTCTGTCCATAACTCCAACCAAGTCTGAATGCTTATGTAAGAATTAGTCAAGTTTTATTATTGATTACAAAACTCAACATTAAGTTTTGCAGTCCTTTTCTTTTTCCCCAACTGCCCCACAAGGATGGTAATATTTTTCGAGTGTATGTTTATTTCTTTGGCATACTCTGCAGCCTAAATAGCTCAATGGATCGATTAACATATGGGGTGCCGTTAGATATTTCTTATTTGTGAAAGTGATATAGGGTGAATTTTTCTTTCTTTCAGTAAGCTTTTTAATAACTGTTTTAACCATTGGGCTTGTTAATTATTGGTTTGAAAATGATTGGTTGTTAATAAATTATAAGTCTTTAAATATGAAGTTCATTTCTAAAAATATATATTCCAACAAATTTGAGGCATATGTAGTAACAAAATTATCTATTTAGAGAAATATTAATATTTCTTTGGATATGAAGAAATTCAATAAATATTGAATAAAACTACTTTTACGGATTTTTTCGCATTTAATTAACTTATTTATCTTATTTTTTATTTATTCCCGACGTTTCGGGTGCTTTACAGCACCCAAGGTCATGGGCGACTGAGGTGAACGAAACGTCGGGTATTAATAAAAAATAAGATAAATAAGTTAATTAAACCCGAAAAAATCCGTAAAAGTAGTTTTATTCAATATGTAGTGTTCGCGTAAATATAAGAAATCATTATAATTCAATAAATAGTTGCATTAGAATACAGCTATTAACTTATAGACCACATATAGAAAGTTATTTACACCTTGTTTTTATTATATAACATATATAAAAAAGGTTTACAAAGGTTAAACATATTGGTGTATTTAGGTATTCTCTCACAGCTAATTTTCTTGTTCACCAGCCCATAAATAGTCCAGTGGACATTGACCTCTTCCACATGATTTACACTGAAACTTGAATTCAGCATATAGCAATAGCATTTTTATTAAAATAATATTAGATTACATACACATTATGTATACTGCCCACAAATATTAATTACTTAACCTAATGTCGCTGATATGGTTAGTAGGTGCTTTAGTATTTTTAATACCTATATTAACAGAAACCAAAGTTATAAATGATCGGTCAAATCATGAAATGGCAACCTATCATAAATTCAGGCAAACAGTACCCAGGCGGATTACGATCTGCCCAATTCGAATGCCGCATATTCATCCACACATCAACCCACTGTGACTGATATTCATTGATAGGTATTTTTGTATTTATAACAAAGTTAACAGAAATCATAGTTACAATTATCGGTCAAAGCATGAAATGGCGGTGTATCATGTAATGCTCAGGCAGATCACAATTTGTCAAATTCTACTCGTACTAAGACTTACGAGGCGCTTAACAATTTGTCTTCGGAATAATTATATAGTTATGTACATAAGTTTAAGTATATACTATAATATTATAATGATGTTGCATAATGGGAATCATATTATCTGCCGACGACACATAAATCTCTTAGTATTTGTAAATAAAATTAGCATGTAATTCTATGAAACCTTTAATAATAAAGTAAAATTACTTGAAAGTATTGTCATTACGTTTAACTTAAATCAGAATTTTCATTTAGCTGCAATTAAGATTTTTTTTAATATTACTTGAAATTGTCAGATTTTGGGTAAAGTCACTTTATTATTAACACAACAATACATCTGCAATACAACGCATCTGCTATTCCCCTGGCTCCCCTGGTGTTGCGGTTGTTTATGGGCGGCGGTAGTCACTTACCATCAGGTGAGCCGCATGCTCGTTTGCCCCCTCTCCTATAAAAAAAAAAGATAAACTTAAAACTAAAACGCACATATTATTTTATGTATATTACCCATAAATATGTTTGCAGCTATCTCTTCATAGCAAAATATGTATGTGATATTAAAACAATGAATGTCTCTTTGTATTACAGGACACACAGCAAATTGTTCAGTTGGGTTTTAGGATGGAAGAGATGATTTTTAGCTTGGCTGATACACATTTCTTTTTCAATGATGTTGAGGTAAGCGTGTTTTGACTTTTGTGGATGGATGATGAGTGTATGTATTATGGCTTTATATGTAGATTAATAGATGTTTAGCAGCATCTTTCCGGTAACAACTCAAAATTATAAAAGTTGCCAAGTGTGGCAAATATGGCAAAAACCCCATAAGGCTTTCTATAGTAGAAGCCTATATTCATCTGTAGACCTTATTGGCTGTAATTAATATAAATTCATCATAGGTCTTTTATATTACACTTCACTATCTCAAATCAACAATGATAGAGAAAAGAGCTGCATACTCTCATAAAAGTCTACTGTTGGATATGACCCTTGCATGTTGCAGAGAGGATATTTTTTTTATAGTATAGGGTGACAAACGAGCACACAGTCCACCTGATGGTAAGTGGCTGCTGTGGCCCATAGACATCTACATTTATCCTCATTTGCGAATCAAAATGCAGATGCGTTGCCACCCGTGAGGACTAAGATGGAATGCCTCGTTTCCAGTAAAAAGGGTCTCCGGTTCTCTAGACTCACCATACGAAACACAGCAGTGTTAAGCTACTATTTTACGCTGGTATTCTGTGAGAGCGTGGTCCCTCCCCGGTCGAGCCGACCCATTCGTGCTACAACTATACTACTAATATAGCTGCAGCATGGCTCTACCACGTATAAATGAATATGGATATATAATGGATATGGCATAATAGCCACGCTTTGCAGTCGCAATACAAGTTAGTCAAACTTTTGTTGCCGGTCCGGATATTTTTGATGCCGTACATGAGGTAGTTATTCCCATAGTTGATTCTGATGAGACCCACGCGAAAATGAGTGAGTTCCCATTTCGAGTGATAAACAACTAAGCCAAAACCATGCTCAACTTATTGTAATAACACCCACTTGCATAAATATATGCATCTAAAATCATTTACAAATTTTTACTGTCAAACTTTTACAGGCTGTTGAAAGAAAGTAAGCAGAAAGATGTTTGAGTGAGTGTGTGTCATGAAGTTAAGCATTGTTTTGACATCACATAGAATGTACACAGTTCCACTGAATTTAAGGTAGACTGGTAGAGAATGCCTTAGGCATTAAGTCCGCCTATATACCACATGTGTATATGAAGTTTTAAATAAATAAATAATAATTGCATACATGCTAACACTAAATTAGAGTACTATAATTTATTTATTGGGTTGATTTTGAATAATTATTTAACAAAATGTTTTTAATATTAAAGCGAGACATTAGTTCAACTCAGATAATACTGTACAGCATAATTCATTAAGCACATTATAAAACTATACACAAGAACACAACTGTGGGAACTTTTTACAATCACTAACGCTGTTAGAAAACTCTCATGTTCAATTCACTTATTGATTTAGTTATCTCATTGATTGCAGAAAGTCAACTTAGAGCTAACCTTTTTATTGTTTGTATATTCAGGATTGCGACCAGGAACACATAGATGCTGTGGCGGCAGACGACAATGGTCAAGACCTGTCTGCATATAATTTCGCCTCGGATGGCTTTCACGCAAGCGCCGCTACCAGCGCTGGCTTATGCGCGCCTGGTATGCGAGGAGGCGTTGATTGGATGAGGAAACTCGCGTTTAGATATAGAAAAATCAAAGACACCTACAATAATTACAGAAATAGGTTGGTAATTAATGAATTTTGAACTAAAATCATCAATAATTTAAAATGCAAGAATAACTTGCTAGTGTTCCTTTGGCATTAATTTATTAATCAAAATCTAAAAGTAAAATTTGTGATGGGTTAACTCAAGTGCATTGTCATTAACTAGTTTCGTCGTTAGTTCGGGCTGGCGGTAATTGAACGTAACATACCAGCAATCGAAAGCAAAATTCGTTCATCGTCCATATATATTATATAATACCAATAAATTGATTATGTATAATTATAATTCCAGTTACGTGATTTTCAATTCGAGTTAACTTGAGTCTAGTTTATTCTGATTTGGCACGTCTCTAATATAAAATTATTATATGAGACTGGCCAGTATCCAGAGAGTTTAACACGTTCAGACGGGCATCTCATGAGTAGGTACTTGGTATCCTATGGCGCAAATCTTCACATGGCCACCGGTGGTACACCACCGCCCCATGAACCAAAAGTCTTGCCGGGCTTCTTTATATTCCAAATAAAACCCATAAATATGGAATAAAGAATTATAAGCTCTGTATGCCCAATGGTTACGCATATAATCAGGAAGTATATACTGGACGAGTTGATGGCGTTCCAGGTCAAGGTCACCAGCAACAAATCACTACGAAACTAATGAATGGGCTAACAGAAAAAGGTCGCACTCTCTACACCGATAATTTTTACATAAGCGTACCACTAGCAGAAACTCTAATGGACAAGCAGACATTTTTGTGTGGCACAGTTCGACAGAACCACAAGAATCTACCAAAGCAAGTGGTCAAGTCCAATCAGAGAAAGGGGCAAGTGTTGACTCTGAAGAATAGAACGGGTGTCAAATATATAAAATGGACCGACAAACGTACAATTCATATGCTTTCGACCTGCAATAATCATACAGGAGCTCTAGTATCAAGGCCACATCGCTGGAGGCTAAACACTGTCCTAGCGAAACCAGACTCTGTTTTGGATTATAATAATGCGAAAAACGGGGTAGATATTTCTGATCAGATGGCGTCGTACTACACCAGCCTTAGAAAAACCCTAAAATGGTACCGCAAGCTAATCATTGAGATTGTCTGTGTCTGTCCCATCCGCAGAGATCGTGATCCTTGGCGATTTTAACGCCCACCACGCCGAATGGCTCGGTTCACGTTTAACCGATCATGCGAGGAGATCTGTTTATGACTTTGCCTTGGCATATGGTCTGACACAATTGGTTACTTCGCCTACGCAGATTCCAGATGTGGAGGATCATACACCTTCCCTGTTGGACCTTCTGCTGACCTCTCATCCGGACGGATATCAGGTTTCCGTCGATGCCCCTCTCGGCTCTTCGGATCATTGTCTGATCCGGAGTGTGGTGCCACTCACGCTCCCCTCGCGGTTGCGTTCTGCAGGTTGCCGCCGTGTTTGGCATTACAGGTCGGTGGATTGGGACGGAATACGGTCTTTCTTTGCATCCTACCCATGGGGGCGGGTTTGCTTCTCGCCGGATGATCCCAGCGCTGTTGCTGACTCTGTCATTGATGTGGTGCTACAGGAAATGAAACTATTTATTCCATCATCTGTGGTACCCATCGGAGACAGTTATTCCATCATCTGTGGTACCCATCGGAGGCAGATCTCAGCCTTGGTTTGGTCGCTCTTGTAAGAATGCATTACGCAGTAAGCAGGAGTGCTATCAGGCCTGGGCTGAGGCTTCGGCGGCTCGGGATGTAAACACCAGCATGCTTAAAAAGAAGTATAACTTCGCCTCCAGGTCCTTCAAAAGAGTTATTGTCAAGGCAAAGCAGAGCACATAGGCAGAATTGGCGAGAAACTTGTTCGCCTTTCTTCGGGAACCCGTGCATTCTGGTCCCTCGCCAAGGCTGTCCAAGGGAATTTCTGTAAGCCATCACTACCATCTCTGAACAGGGAGGACGACTCACTGGCCCAAGCCGCAAAAGAGAAAGCCGACCTTTTAGGCTCCCTTTTTGCGTCCAACTCGACTCTTGATGACGGGGGGAAAACACCGCCGAGCATCCCGCGGTGTGAGTGCTCCATGCCGGATGTACGGTTCTCACAGCGCTCAGTTTGCAAAGCACTTCTCTCCCTGGACATCCACAAGTCGAGTGGGCCTGACGGAATCCCCCCAATTGTGCTGAGGACGTGTGCTCCGGAGTTGGCACCGGCCCTAACGCATCTTTTCGGGTACTCCTACTCCCTAGGCGTAGTCCCGAAATCCACCCGATCCCTAAAAAAGGCGACTGCTCAGACCCGTCCAACTACAGGCCCATCGCTATCACCTCCTTGTTCTCCAAAATAATGGAATCCATTATTAACTGCCAGCTCATGCGGTACCTTGAGGATCACCAGCTAATTAGTGACCGCCAATACGGTTTTCGTCGGGGTCGATCAGCTGGTGATCTTCTGGTCTACCTGACTCATAGATGGGCGGAGGCAGTAGTGTCCAAGGGGGAGGCGTTGGCCGTTAGTTTGGACATTGCGAAGGCCTTCGATCGGGTTTGGCAAAAAGCGCTTCTTTCGAAGCTCCCTTCCTATGGGCTTCCCGAGAAATTGTGCAATTGGATCACCAGCTTTCTTGCAGATCGGAGCATCAAGGTCGTTGTAGACGGTGCATGCTCCAACTACAAGCCTATTAACGCTGGTGTTCCACGGGGCTGTGTGCTATCACCAACGCTTTTTCTTCTACATATCAATGATATGTTGCTAACTGGTAACATTCATTGCTATGCGGATGACAGCACTGGTGATGCTCTATACACCGGCCGTGCCAATATTTCTCGGGAAAACGTCGCCGAGTAACGGAACAAACTTGTGTCTGAAGTCGTGTCTTTACTGAACAAAGTCTCGGATTAGGGGCGACTAAATCTAGTCCAGTTTAATCCTCAGAAGACACAAGATTGCGCGTTTGCCGCTAAAAACTGTGCGATTTAGAAGATGTTTTCTTCCTCGCACAACTTCCTTGCGGAATCGATTACCATCAGCGATTTTTCCGGACCGATACGACTTAGGGACCTTCAAGAAAAGAGCCTACTCCTTTTTAAAAGGCTGGCAACGCATCTGCAATTCCCCTGGTTCCCCTGGTGTTGCAGTTGTTCATGGGCGGCGGTAGTCACTTACCATCAGGTGAGCCGCATGCTCGTTTGACCCCTCCTATAATAATAATAAAAACACTGACAAATTGTGAAGTTTGATTGTGAGTTAATTTTGTAATTTTATGTTTTTTCTATCGTTGATCAACTTACCTACTTTTTATTTTAAATAATAAGTAGTAACAATATATTGTTTCCACAGAAGTTTAAATGTTTTACATAAGTAATGACAAAGAAAATTAAAACATCAAAAACTAGTAACAGATGTATGTGTACACCTACAAACAGACATTTGGACCTATCCAAGAATAAGAGATTTACCAATACTTTCAAAAACAGATGAAGTAATTAATTTAAGTAAAAATTTTAAATAAAGAATGAAAGGTCGCGAATTAAAAAAAGTTAAAATTAAACTCGATAAAATCCGAAAAATTAGTTTTATTCCATGTGTAGTATTCGGGTATAAATATAAGAAATCATTTTATAAAGAATGAAATTAGAAATAAATACATTATTTTTTACAGTGTGGGTGGATTATTGGGACCAGCAAAAAGAGAGCAATGGCTTCAGCTTCGAGCTGAACTCGAACAAGCCACAGACAACTGGCTGACATTAGCGTGCAAATGTCTAAATATGATCAATTCCAGGTATGTATTAAATAAATTAAATTAGCCAATTTAAAAGCAAATGTAAATTAAGTTTCTGAATGAAATCTGACCAATAAACACAGGAGTATTACCAAACACTAGGATTTTTTATATAATGGAGTTTTTTCTGATTGGGTTTCTAGTTTTCTAGCTGCCATACCGTTCATCAGATTACAATAAAACTTTGTCACTTATTGCTTTCACTTGCGCAAATGTTATATATAATTTGAAAATGATATATCATTTTAATGAATTTATTATCATTCCTAATTAAACAACATAACTCTTCCTAATTTAAAACCACATTGTCACAGTTATTTCTTCTGCGGCAGTAACGCGCCAGTACCAGCTAGTATTACAATAAATATTTCTTTTCATTTAAATTGTGTTTGGGAAAATTCTGGGATATACGAGAAAGATCTCATGGCGTGGCAGTATAACCATATCTTAGGATTATCCATATATTCCATTACAGCCTATAAAAGTCCACTGTTGAACGTAGGCCTCCCTCATAAATTGCCTCGGAGGGATTTTGCCATAATTGCCACTTTTGGCAAGCGGGTTAGCAACCACAGTTTATTATTATTTTGAGTCGTTATCAGGAAGACGCTGCTGCCCATCTTCAGATTTGTTTCCCTCTGTCGCGTCTTACGACACTCGCGAGATGATATTATGGGGTAGTGGATATTCTTACACCGCCACTACACACGGAGGATCATATTGTTATTGTACCATGTTTAGTAGTATTTTATTAGCATATATATAGGCTGCTTGATAAAGGATTGTCATATTTGTGTTTTTATGTGTGGTAGAGCTCTGCTGCTGCTGGTTGTTGCTCGAATGTATCGGCTTGACCAGGAATCGGAAGGAGCACACTCTCACAGACCACCAGCAGGAGATTAATTCTGCTAGCATTAGCATTTTAATTTTGCTGTGTTTTATATGATGAGTGTATTGAACTGCAGACCATTTTACTGGAAAGAAGGCATTTCATCTTAGTCCTCAGGGGTGATAACGTATCTGCATTGTGATTCTTAATCGGGGATATATGTAGATGTCTATGGACCCCAGTAAACACGCCATAAGGTGAACTGTGTGTTTGTCTTTCAACCTTGTTTTATATATAAATAAACATTTAAGCATAGGTCTAAAATGGGTTTTTGTATTTAATTGTTTACTTCATTCTTCCAGAGAAAACTGCGTAAATGTCCTTGTAACAACTACACAGCTAGTTCCTGCATTAGCTAAAGTCTTACTATTCGGACTTGGAGGAGTGTTTCCCATTGAGAATATTTACTCTGCAACTAAAACAGGTTTGTTAATGTTAATATTAAATATTGATAAACTATTATTACAAACCCTCTATAAATTTTTTTCACAGTAAAATATATAAATTAGTTTTTGTTTGACATTTTTGAATTATCTAAATATATACGAATAATTACGCACAGAAACTGCGTCTAGAAAAATTTGGGCTTATGGTATGCCGGATTTAAAATATAAAATACTGGCAACTTAAAATTGTTTAATATCAGTTGAAATGGAAAAAGAAGTTGACAATTCAAGAATGAAAATCAACATGTTCTTTAATAAAGATAATATTACTAATTGATCAGCTGAAAGCCTATATACTTCATAATCTCATTTAAAAATCTGATAGTGTATTATCTCTTTTTGAGATAATTGTAATGGCTGAGCCACACTATGCTCCTCGTGCCGCCGCGCGATAGAACGACGCTTCCGTAACGAGCGCTCGATTCGTACTGTGTTTGCGCATGTGGCCAGCCACTCGCGCTCATATTGCTAGTCCTTTAACTCGCGCCTAAAAAGCCGACAAAACAGGGAGCGATGGGCGTGACGAGGAGCATGACGTGCGGCATGAGTATTGTGCCACGCTACGTCTGCTTCCTTTCCTCGCTACTTCCCATTTTTTATTTACCCTCTGCCACAGACGAGTGTGTGGCAGAGGGTAAATAAAAAAACAATAATTTAACATCATATTTTTTTATGAAAACAAAACATATATGTGTATCATGTTTTTGCTACAAACTGTAATTTTTTCACCTTGAGTACGAATAGCCTGATATAGATAGTTAAGTCTTAGTTGTCTTACTTTTCGTGGTCTTAATAGGTTTTCGAGCGTTATTATAATATATATAATTCCTAATTTTTGCTTAAATTTCATATGTATATATATATTTATACAATAACATTTTGAAAAACTTAAAAATAAATCCTATTGTCATTCAGGTAAAGAAACATGCTTCGAGAAAATAAAGCAGCGCTTCGGTGACCGTTGTACGTACGTTGTGATTGGCGACGGCCAGGACGAGGAAGCGGCCGCGAAGGCGAAGAACTATCCCTTCTGGAGGATCTCCAGTCATTCAGATATCGCTGCACTTTACAACGCGTTGGATATGGGTTTCTTATGATTTGCTGCTAGCCTGGTACTCTCGTTTCGATGTTGTGGTGAAATTCACGATTCTCTATGTCTGTCTCTTTTCTGCTTATTTGATAAATACGCCATCTATAATCATTAAGATTCTACTTGACTCTTAGTGAATGCTATTATCCTAGTGTTTCATTCGCATACACCAACTTTTTTTTAATAAATTCAGTCTGTTAATTTCACTATACAGTCAATTAGATGTACAGTCAACCATAGATAAAATCTATTTTTTTTAAATAATTTTAACTGTATGAGAATTTGATTTCAACTGCTATCATTTAAGCTGTTGTAAAACGTAAAAAGTGAGACAGTAATGGCTTATGTCGTGAACAATGAAATCATATCATATCCATTTAGTAAATAATAGTTGGGGCTCTTTTTAAAGTACATTTTCGTATTTATCCCAATTACGTGGAGCCCCGCAAATTCATTTATTTTGTTTACAATTAACTTATCAATATTATTTAGTTTTTAAAGCTCAAAGTTAGCTCAAAACGTACGAAAAAAATCTATACTAGAAATTTTGTAAATATTTATTAAAAATGTAGACAGATGCCTACATTATTTAATTATAATTCCATTCCTACTAAATAAGTTTTATATGTTATATACAATGTACAGAATGCTATTTTAATAAATCAATTAAAGGTAATTAATACAAAAAGAATGTGTGGCGAATATTGTTATCACCATACAGAACACAAAATATTTTAATTTATATATCTGCCACTTTAAAATCGAAACATTACTGCTTATGTTTTTTTATGCTATTGTACAACATTTGATATTAAATAGTAAATACATAAATAAGATACGATAAAACTATTAGTTGTATACACACAGAAAAATATTTTTAAGTTTCCTTGGTATTTAAAATAGTTTTTAACATAATATCTACTACCTTATGAACATTTCAAATGACAAATTATTTAAATATAATTTTGTTAACTTTTCTTGCGCTCCTGACTAACTGACAAAAGCACAATTAGTTTTGTATAAAACATATCAAAACGCCTACTATTTCTATAATAGCTATATTATAATATATTATACGTTTACGTGCAATTTTTATTCACTATTCACATCTTGCTATAAAACAAAACAACCGTAGTTTGTTTGGTTAGTTCAATTCACACCACCTGAATAGAATAAATCATTAAATATATCGGAGGTTATTTCCAAACCTAAAAAGCGTGAATAATTGTAAATAATTTGTTACGCGGTAGAGCCACGCTGCAGCTGCAACACGAATAGGTGGGCTCGACCGGGGTAGAACCGAGCTCTCACAGAACACCGTCGTTAAATAGCAGTATAATCCTGCTATATTTCGCATAGCGAGTGTAAATAATCAGAGACCATTTTGACTGGTAATGAAGCATTTCATCTTACTCGTTATCTTTATCGTTAGTAGAATTTTGATTGTTAATCGATTATAAATGTAGCTAACTGTGGGCATCCTGCTACTGCTGCATCAGGTGGACTGAGTCCGCGTTTGTAGCCCATTTTTTACAAAAAAGTAAACCCCGATAAACCTGGGCTATAAATTAATTTACTCAGATGGTGAGAGGCCAACTTTTTGGTTTTAAGAGCTCAACTGTTAGAAAAAAATTAACTAATAACAGTTTAAATAGAGAGAATTAGCCAATGTGTTTCATGAAGAAGACTCTTAGAGAATATGTGTTCTAAAATGTACTGTTTAGTATGTAATATGACAGCAGATGTCAAAATTCGCAAGACAGTGCGGCCTATAAGGGACACCTTCCGTGAAACAAACTACTTTGTACATGTTGACTGGTGACTTATACACTGAATGTTTTTGATATTTTTATTTGGTACATATTATTAGTCGTATTTATGCAATTTTCAGACAATACTTATTTATGTAACTATTATAATTTTAACTACATAGATATTATGTTTTGGAACTTTTTTTGCATAGAATGGTTTATTTGTATGTATTATTAATGTTTATGTATTTCTACTAATGGTTATATTAAGAACGTCGGAAAGGAAACTTCCATTCACAATTTATAATTAAAATAGTTGGGAAACAGTATAGTCGGGGCATTTGAAATTTGATGTTACAATATCATTAAATAATTCTGTAGCCACTGAAATACAGATATATGTATAAAAATATTCAGGAATGCAATTATTATTGATTAAAATATTTTATTGGGAACTTTTAAAATGGACAGCAAAAATAGGCACTGCCATTCTATAACTACAACTACCAGGACTTAATGACCCGATGTGAACTGCTGAGTTTCAAATAATTAAAATAAAACTGAAATAGGTACATACACATAGTAATTTTATTTTTTTATTTTATTCATATTCGATAAATTCACATAGGTATTTGTGAAACACTAAGTCTGTATTAAAAAAATAGGCAATTGTAATTAGACAAAATTTTATGTAATCGGTGCCCTAAGTACAAGTTTTTAACACTAACGTTATCGTATCGTCATCGACTAAAATTATTGTATGGCAGTATGATGAGCGCCTCTGACAGACCTATATGTAACTTTCTTTGGTCATACAAAGTTACTCGATGGCGATACGAATTTGATACGTTACAAAACTTATGCAGATGGGGCAGGTCTTTAAAAAGACAAGCTGTTATACGGAACGTAGCAATATTTTAAATTAGTTAAAAAATATAATTGTAATACGAATGCGACGCAATGTAAATACAGATATACATAGATTTTAGTTTTAAAAAGAATCATAGCTACTTGCTAGTGATATGCAAACTTGTTTCAAATTTTGCGATTATTCGACATGTAAATAAAAAATATATATATTATTTGAACATTACTTGTGTTTTTTTTTTCTGACGAAATCAAGACAAAGTGGCCAGTGTAAATACATGTTTGGTGAAAAATGTTCGGTAAGAGTACACTTTTTCTTCGTTGCGGTAAAGTGAGCTTAACATTTAGATTTTAAAATAATTCTTTAAGATTAATGGTACAAGAGCTTACTAAAATACAGAGCTTACTAAAATACGCTTTAGTGAGCACACAGCGCTAGCTATACCTCTGAGTTGGTTCTTTTTTCGACTAAAATAAATAATACGTCTGGTTATTATGCTATTTGTTCAACACTACCTACAAAGCCTACAAACGTCCAGCTGTTGGATGCTGGTTTCTTCTTATTTATGATGAGAGGATTTTTATGATTAGATTTAGGATAGAAGAGGGGGCAAACGAGCATGCGACTCATCTGATGGTAAGCGTCGACTGCCGCCCATGAACAACTACAACACCAGGGGAGTTGCAGGTGGGTTGCCGGCCTTTTAAAAAGCAGTAAGCTAGTTTCTTGAAGGTCCCTAAGTCGTATCTGTCCGGAAAAATTGACGGTGGTAAACGTAGTCCACAAATAATCCTGCGAGGAAGAAAACTCCCAGTAAATAGCACAGTAGTGGACCGCCAAGCATCCAGTGATAACGAAGTTATGTCGCGATGTCCCTTGGTGAAATTTGGCGGCTGGAGTTAATCCGCACAATTTCTCAGAACCGCCATACTGCTATTTGCTGTATTTTACATTTCCTTGTAGAAGCCATTAAAGGAATAATAATTAAGATCGTCGAATATTTAATGATTAACCTCTTTTTGTCCCTTGATTAAGAAGTAATTATAAGAATGGGCAGATCTTAGACTTAGTTTTTTTTAGCAGAGGGGGCAAATTAGCATGCGGCTCTCCTGATGGTAAGTGACTACCGCCGCCCATGAACAATCGCAATACACCAGGGGAATTGCAGATGCGTTGCCGGCCTTTTAAAAAGGTGTAAGCCCTTTTCTTCAGTGGTGGACCGCCAATCATCCAGATGGTGTGGATGGTATCGGGAGTTCTGCCGCGATGTGCGTTCGTGAAATTTGGCGGCTGGGATTAATCCGAACAATTCCTCAGAGCACTCCCCGTGGTAGATGCGAAAGAAAATGCAAAGGGATGCAACATCTCTTCGCAGTGTCAATGAATCGAGCCGATCGGAAAGGACTCTGCGCTGGATGCGGTCAAGTGGAAGGAGCTGGTACTGGTGAGCCCCTGCCCAGAGATGGTAATAGTATTCCATGTGAGGCCGAACCTACGCCTTGTAAAGTTGCAGGCGGTGTGCCGGCATGAAATACTGTTCCGTTCTGCTGAGCACGCCAAGCTTTTTAGAGGCCAATTTGGCCTTCTCTTCCAAGTGACCACGAAACTGAACGTCACTTGATATGTCGACTCCGAGGATTCCGATACTGGCTTAGGCAAGAAGGAGAGTGCCTTGAAACTGAGGAAATACGACAAAGGGGTTCTTTTTAGCGGTAAACGCACAAACTTGTGTCTTCTGAGGATTAAACTGGACTAAATTTAGTCGCCCCCAATCCGAGACTTTGTTCAGCAAAGACTCGACTTCAGACACAAGTTTGTTCCGGTACTCAGCGACGTTTTCCCGAGAAATATTGGCACGGCCGGTGTATAGAGCATCACCAGTGCTGTCATCCGCATAGCAATGAATGTTACCAGTTAGCAACATATCATTGATATGCAGAAGAAACAGCGTTGGTGATAGCACACAGCCGTGTGGAACACCAGCATTAATAGGCTTGTTTGTAGTCGGAGCATACACCGTCTACAACGACCTTGATACTCCGATCTGCAAGGAAGCTGGTGTTCCAATTGCACAATTTCTCGGGAAGCCCATAGGAAGGGAGCTTCGAAAGAAGCGCTTTTTGCCAAACCCGATCGAAAGCCTTCGCAATGTCCAAACTAACGGCCAACGCCTTCCCCTTGGACTCTACTGCCTTCGCCCATCTATGGGTCAGGTAGACCAGAAATCACCAGCTGATCGACCCCGACGAAAACCGTATTGGCGGTCACTAATCAGCTGGTGATCCTCAAGGTATCGCATGAGCTGGCAGTTAATAATGGATTCCATTATTTTGGAGAACAAGGAGGTGATGGCGTTAGGCCTATAGTTGGACGGGTCTGAGCGGTCGC